GCAAGATAGCAACTAGAGAGCGATATTGCACTGTGATCCTTTGGCCCGCGTAGGGACTGGCGGCGAGATAAGCAATGTGAATGCGTTCCTCCCTCGCGGGCGCCGCTATTATTTGCGCCAAAATGTATTCCTCTTAGTTTTTTTATTTCAATATTTTGCATGAATCCCATCGGGACAATTAGAACCTTCCTTTTTTTTCAGCATGTCTCTAGTGCTCGGGTTGTAACATGGTTCCAGGTTTTAACAATTTGGCGTTAGATAACATCGAGTGAAGCCAGATTGGACACCTTGTGAATTTTACACAACGCATTATTTCCATAATGGAACGAGACTGGAATGCAGAATGAGGCTAGAATAGCTGAAAAAAACCAAAACTACAGAGTGCCAGTTATGGAGAGAACACAGTAGAGAGTTAAACACTGATATGCAGTGATTAGGGTTAAGCACTGAACTGAAAACGGTTAGCTTTCAAATATTATAATGGGGTACGGTACGGCGTATATAAGAACATGTAAATTTTAAAAATTACTGGATTTGGCAGCTAGTCCTCGATGGTGTAGTGGATATGGATGTAGGCTATAAAGCAAGTGACCCGAGTTCAAAGCATCACAGTGGGGTTTTTCTATCTCACTTTAATATTATACAGTAAAATTGGACTTAAGTTGTTCTTCATGTAATTTTACTGAAAGAAACAATCTGACTTCAGCCGATGTTACCTGATGCTAACCTTTCATGATGCATGATAAACGAAATGAAGTATACAATACTTATTATTCACCTTGACTTCTCCTGAATGTGTGCCATTTTATCTCAGGTAAATTAAGGCATGGGTCCCCAATGATTCGGTCAAAAAGTGATGGGGGTGGTCTATCTCTGAACACTTAAGCAGTAAAAAGATGAGACTTTGCCAGATACATACATGTGTGGTTTCTGTCAATAAGGTGATTTTCAATTATGCAAATGTTGTCACGTGTTTCTACACGGCCAGAAAACAATAAAACGTTTTTAAAGAAAAAAGGCAACACTTTTTTGTTCTGAGTCATTAAACCGGACTGGTTTAGGACAATGTGTAATGCAAGCATCTACAAAACTGTGCTTGGACTTAATCTTTTACTGTTTTAGAAATTGAACGGCTTTTTCAACTAGTCCCAGTCCCCCAAAGCAATTGTATCCCATCTTAACGCCGTCGATTTTAAATATCTGAAAAAGGCGAAGCACAGAAGTGATATATTAAAAGGCCTTAACCATAGCCAAATAAAGTACCCTCGGTACCAGAGGTTTTTTTTCTCGCGGGTGGCGGGATCCGTCGGCCTAAGGCCGAAGGCACGAGTAGCGACAAAGATCCGGAATCCGTGCATGAAAAGTCTCTGGCACCCAGGGTAGGTTTCCACTAATTCTTTTGCCCAAACAAAACGTGAGATTCGAGTCTTACGCAAGTAAAGTTTGCCAAGCGCTGGAGTCGCTAAGGGACTAGGTCGAGTAAACAAAAATTTCTGTTTTCTTCCGGAACATTTGGCAGTCTTCTCATAAATGTATAGGAAATGATCTTTAATTGCGAAGCATTAAAGAAATTCTATAGAGGTGATTACCTCCAGTATTCCCATATCTTGCCTAATGCATTGTTTTGTGTTTTATCCGTATTACTGGAAATAACATCCATCAAGAATTCTTACAGGAAGAAAGCAAAGATGACAACGGAGGTTTTTAACTCAATGGGAAATGTTAAGTGCAAAGAGGTGGCAGGTGCAATGTATGCGTTTCCGAGGATAACACTTCCAAAGAAAGCTATCGAGGCAGCCAAGGTATCATGTCCTGTTTCCGGTCCTGATTTCTAGTGCCACACTGCAGAATACTGTCAGTAATGGATATCCTAGGTGTACGGTAATCCAGATTCCGGAACCCGGGAATTTTTTTCTTGTAGACTGATCCGCTGAATCAGTTCAGGGGTTTGAAATTCGGAATTCAGACCTGGTTGTTCATAAGATGGATAGCTCTATCCACCGCATAAATCACTATCCTGTGGATAGGTATGAGCGAAACCAATTGCACTATCCACTGGGTAGAGATTTATCCGGTGGATAGCGTTATCCACCTTTTTAACAGCTGGGGCCTGCTCTATATATGAAGCCCGGAATCTCGCCTACGATTGGAATCTGGAATCCACGTTTCATGGACAAGGAATACTGAATCCAGTACCCGCCATCCGGGATCTACAGCATAAAATCCGGAATCCACAACGTGCGATCCAGAAGCCAAGATTCTCGTTGATGCACCTTATATTAGAAGAATGCCAACCCTTTTCCCGCTGAGTCAGTTTTCATAAAACGCGTTCTTCGGTTAGATAAAGTGAAAAGGACGCTATATGATCCCATCTTATTCATGGTTCTGACAATGTCCCGCGAAAGTTGAAATTTCATTTTCTCAACTTTCCATATTTCATTGCTAAATTCCATATGTCGTAACGATCTAGTAACAGCTCCCAGTAAAGGCTTCATCGAGGGATTCGTTGAAATACAGATATATATTCCCCTCACAAGGAAAGTATGTATGTGGTCTGTTTGGTGAGCGAAGTGAAAGGATTTTGGGTGGACAAAAGTAATGTGTCGATATTTTTTGAGTTTACTGAGTTGTTTGTATTGTCATTGTTATTTAGGCCGAGGAAATTCCACCAGACGAGTTTTACTGTTGGCAGGCACTGGAGAAAACTGGAATTTACATGATTCCTGGCCACGTTTTTGATATGAAAGGCAGCGGTAACAACTTTTACTACAGGTAAGATTTGAATTAACAAGGGCCATCAACTTCAGGTCGGAATTTTGATGATTTTGAAAACCTCTCTGTGATATCATTTGCGCCCTTGTGTCACAAGATTTTCACAGGCTTGTCTAATATATTTAGATTGATTAGATTTACTGCACCTTTAAATTTGATAGGACCCCTCTTTTCACCCAACCCCCCAAAATTCTGCCTTTGTACCACAGGAACACCAAATTAGGATGCGTTCTGACGAACGCAATAAGGGTATATACAGATTGGCCAATAGCCGGGGTGATGGGGGCTTAGTGGAGGGCCTGCAGCTGGGATAAAGTTGTTGTTTACAAATAGAAGGGCTTACAACCGGGATTATACGGTATGGACCAGCGCTTAAACCTACGTGGGAAAAGGCGTCCTAAAAGCGACTTGTCTGTAAAAGCGACGTTCTGTCAGCGTGTGAAAGTCTGATGAAATTGGACAAAGTTTTATCTCCACATTATGAATTAAAATAATTCAAAACGTTTTGATTTTTCAGACCCACTATCCATACGAAGGAAATAACTTAAAATGGTTTCATATTTTAATCTTTCTTGGTAGGATAACTAATCTTCCTTCTGAAGAGACGTTCACTCCGCCCAATGTTTGAGCCCCAGGGGCCCCTCTCATATATTTTAATGACGGGGGCGTCCGAAGGATTTTTTTGGGTCTGACATTTTGGCCAAAAGGGATTTTTTTGGGTCTATGAAAGACGCCGGGATTTTTTTGGGTCGCGAAAACAACACAGGGATTTTTTTGGGTATTGTATTTTTCATCAGCTCAAATCAACAATAACATAAGCGCAATTTATAGTTTTCATGGTTTTGTTTTTGACCAAAACCAAAGTTGAAGTTGGCATGTTATAGCTTTCCAGAAGATAAATAATAAAATTTGCTGATGCAAAAACACTGAGCGATTTTTTTGGGTATGTTAAAAAAAGTAAGGATTTTTTTGGGTAGACAAATTCTGAAGTTGGGATTTTTTTGGGTATAAAAATGAACCTCTGTCGGACCCCCTTCATTAAAATATGTGAGTGGGGCCCCTGGGGTTTGAGCGACTAATTAAGAACCTTTCACCAAGAATTCATGGCGCAGTTTAAGGACGCGAACTGACAAGATGGATTTACTGGATTTAGTTTCCAGTGATGACAATATTCAATCCACACTATTTGATATGTCTCCATCCTCATTTATAAGGGGAAAGTTTTCTGACGTAAAATATATGTTTGAAGAGGCAAAACTCTAACTTGCTTACAAAGTTCTATTTCTCGAGAAAGGCTAAATAGTTTTGATGACTCTTCATTCATCTATGATTTTCAAAGTTTTTCAATTGACTTCTCTTCCCAGATTTGGCTATATATTATCTCCCGAAAAATACCCGGAAATGTTCAACAATAGTGGCAGAAAGAGTCTTGAATGTATCTGGCAAGCTGTACACAAATGTCCTTAACCACACAACGAGGAAAAACAACATTCTTATAATCCTCTCCTAAAATTGGCGTGAAAAAAAAGACACTTTTAACAATCTTCTGACTTTTCCCATCTTTAGGACACTGAAGTGTGCTTTTCCCATTTCAGCGTTTTTCCGGCCCATTCCCTGTGATATTCCAGACACAGATAAGAACGTAAAGAAATCCTGTTTATATAAATAGCAACTTTATTAAAGTCTCTTTAAAATGCTGATTTTACTAACAGCGGTATTTTACCTTCAAAACAAGTCGCATTATTTAAGTAGATATCGCGTTGTGAAATAACAAATTAAGAACTAAACAACTTCTGCACTTGATGTACATAATGGATATATTTCATGTTTTGCGACCACAATCATAATGACTAACTCTAAACAAGGAAATGTAAAGGCTATCTTTTCATATTTTTGGAAGCATACTAAACGTAACGAAAATATAAACGAGACTACTAACCGGCTCTATATATTTAGTTGTAGTATTTGACGAAATACTGTGGTTCAACTCATCAATGGTTTAGATTTTGTTTTCCTTTGTGTTGCGGTATGGTTATGTACGATTGAGAATCAGAGTTTAAAACAAAGGAAAAAGCATTTCAACCAAGGAAAAAATTGCACCAAAACATTTATTTACGGCCTTTTTATCGAACTTTAAAGGCCGCAATAATAGTATACAATCGACTACTGTTTTTTTTTATGAAGATGACGAAATCATTTGTTGGCCTCCAAGTGTTAAACAAAGTACATTAAAGCGCATGAAGAGGAATATCTCGGGCATTTTGTCTTCGTTGACGTTTAAATAACAGCAGGAGAGCTTTCCTAAACTCTGGAATTCTGATTGTGTAAACGATGGGATTAACAAGCGAGTTCATAAAAGATAGAATGATTAAAGAAAACTTCAAACGTACTAATTTCTCGGAAGAAGGGAATTCCGTGATACTAGTAAAAGATTGAAATCGAAGAAAAATAACAAAAACCCCACGTGGTAGCCACGTCAGTAAGGATACGATAGTCATTATGAATAATGTTACGGTCAGTTTCCTTTGTCTGTTGTCTGCACCATGGTGCTGGGGATGCGCTCCACACAAAAATTTAACAACAATGGAAGAGTAAGAAACACAGATAACTAAAAGACACAAATAACAGTATGATTGCGAGAAGTAAAGACGATACAACGGTTCCTTCCCATGTTCGAAAAGTATTAAAATGGCAGTTGATACCATTGCAGCTAAAACCCAGACACCAGCAATTGTTACCACGTAGACCCACTTTTTGATGAGGCGATGCCTGAAGGGACGAAATGTTGCATGCATCCGATCTAATGAAATGACTGCAATGTTTGTTAGAGAGGTCAGAGGAAACCAGGGGAAGAGAAAGAAAATTATCACTTTCAGTTCCGGGCTTAATTTCATTTTCACAATGTCGCATGAGTATCGTGAGAGGAGTTGAAATGGATGAAGGTGAGAAAATCCTCCGACAAACATATCAGCTACGGTCAGGCTTATAACTAGGTACATGGCACGAGTGCGAAGACTGCGGGTTTTTATAAAAACAATGATTGATAGAAGGTTCACTGTTACTATAGCCACACACACGGTAAGGGTTACAGCAAACCAGGTGATGCACTCGGATGAAGATAATGGCATGACTCGTTTTCTTTTACTCCTTTTCACTTCACACTTTTACCCGTTCTCTTCTGTTGTTCGTCTACCTTTAGAAAGAATTTGAATTGAATAAAGTTTGATTACTTAGAAAAGAAAAGTAGGAGGTGAACAAACAGTAATGAAGATACATGAATAATAATTCAACGAATTAGGAAGCTCACCTTTAACTTACAATTTTTCAAATTGCCTTTGCAAAAGCTGAAGTGAAAACCCTTGTTTTCACCTGTGGAAAAATATCAGTGACGTTTGAGGGGAGATTAGGACAAATTGGTTGAATAAAAGTTGAGGGCATTAAATTTCGTTTCAGCGCTGAATGTTTTTAAAACTAATTAACGTCTACTCGGCGCTCGTTCACCTGAGTATAAATAATAGTAATTATCATTATCATAATGGTGGCGGTTTATTTACAGCATTTCCAAAGAAAAATGGCTCTACATCTGCTGATAAAATAGATTATAGTATATCTAACCTATTTTTGGAAAACCAACCTAACGAAATTTGCAGTCATTTGACTGAAAAGGCGTCAAAAGGCAGGTTTCTTAATAAGCCCGAGAACGGCTCCAAAATCACAGTAACGAAGGAAAAGGAAAGGAGAAAAAGAAAGAGCGACGGAGGAGATCAGGAAAGGAGGAGAAGAAAAATAAGCAATGGTTGCACTCTTAGTTTTTATAATGAGCTACTTTGGATATAGTTTTTGGCCGAAAAAAACTGTTGGACGGAAAAGGTCCATTTGACGATAACGTTTTCAAAAATCCGGCTAGATATATACAGCTAAACATATGTTATTACATCAGGAGTAAAAAATGTTCGTGGTAAAATGCAAAGGGTACTACTAACTAATTAGTTAACTAACAATCTAACTGTGGCTAAAATTGTATTTGAATCTATTACATTAATACTTTTTTAACATTTTTATTTCGCTCTTTAAAAATATTGAAGGTCTGTTTGGTATATAGGGAGTAATTGATCACCAAAATGAAAATGTGACTCTCCCTCATATCACTTCAATTAAACCTTCTAAAACAATCGAATGTCCATAGTGAGACCTCAAAAAATTAAATGTTCCATGCAAACTGTTAGTCAGCGGTGAACAATTTCACTCGGTTAAAGGAGCTGAAATTTCCATGAAAATATGACTGAAGAGGGCCTTAAGTCGCGGCTTAGCTCGGACAATCCTTTTATTTTAACATTTTCCATTGCAAGTATTTTTAGGATAGTGAGGAGGAGAGAAACATCGCTCTCCAACCCGTCCACCATATCCGACGACGCCTCTCTCCAAAATTTACTCAAAAAACCATTTGAGGATATCTTTAAGATTGCTGTTTTAAAAAGCAGCTCTGCAAATGCGTTCTATGAAACTCTATAAAATTTGTATCTGTTTGGTCATCCTTGGGCTTCTTCAGCCGATGCAAATTTATTAACACGCTAGTACTTTTTCGAAAATCTTTGATGCTATTAAATATACAGAAAACTCAACATTTTCCGATATACATCTTTCCGTTACTGATTTTAAAGCCCAAAATTTATTGTAAGTAGTCCATTTTTGAGAATGATGTCCAAATATAGGAATACAAGTGAAAAGTGAAAAGCCATTCCCAACTTCAAGCAGAGAAGTTAATAGACTGAAAACTTCGAAAAACTGAGATGAATGATACATTCATCCATGAATTTTTAACTTTTTTCGAGCTATAGAAATCTCTAGATAATATGTGCTTCTTCGAACAGCTATTTCACAGAAACCAGTCGTTGGGTGCCCCAAGCTACCACATGAAAAGACTAAAGGTCCACTAGATGTGCTAAATATAGGAATTTGGTTAAACATTCGATTCTTAAGGATTAGTATAATAAACATTGCAGGTAAAACCCAGACAAATGCAGCAATTGTTACCCCGTAGACTCACTTTTTAATGAGGCGATGCAAAAGAGCTGTATAGGGACGAATTGTTGCATGCATCTGTTCCAATGAAATTACTACAATGTTTGTAAGAGAGGTCAGAGGAAACCAGACGAAGAGAAAGCCAGTTGTTAATGTCAGTTCCAGAGTAAAGTGCGGAAATTTCACAATGTCGCATAAGTAGGGTATACGTAGAAGAGTGAGAAAATCCTCCGACAAACATATGGTCAGCTTTATGACTAGGTACAATTTGGCACGAGTGGGAAGACTGCGTTTTTTTAATAAAAAGAACGATTGATAGGTAAGGTTCACTGTTACTTATAGCAACAGACATGGTAAGGACTACAGCGAACCAGGTGATGCACTGGGAAGATATCATGGCTTGCTATTTTTTTCGCTTCACAATTTTAATTCCCTGTTTCTCTCTGTTGCTTGTTTATACCTTTCAGAAGAACTTGAAAAAAAAATTTCAGTTAAGAACGTGGACAAAGAAGGTTGATGTTAGTTCCGCAAAGATCGCTAATCAAGAGATACATTAGGACGCTGTTCGACAGTATCGGTTGTTGCGACAAACGGTTTAATTAGTTTTTATTCTGCATGCGTCTCTGCTGAAACAAAGGAAGTTTAATGGTGTTTTCCTGTTTTTTAAGCTATGAAGGTTATCATAAAAAGGGAACAGCTTACTCTTGATGGTCAAGGAACTTTTAGAACTACTGCTAGGAAAATATCATAGTTTTCTGCGTTAATGCAAACTAGTCACTCGGTTAACGGAACTAAAATTTCTCATATGAAAATATGAAAAGGACGTAAGTCGCTTTCAGCTCGGCTTATCCCTGTATTTAAACATTACAAGCTTTTATGTGTGGGTATATAATATCATTGAACGTATCGCCGCGGTTTTCTCCAAAATTCTATTATAATCATTTTAGGATATCAGTTTTTAGATTGTTTTTCAATAAAGATTTGCAAATGCTTTCTAAGAAGCACTATAAAATTTTTAACTGTTTTGTAGTTCTAGATCTCCTTTAGTCTATGCGAATTTAATACCTCCTACTTATTACTCTTCCAAAAATCTTTGATGCTATTTAATCTTTTACTGGAAAACTCAACATTTTGCGATACCTCTTTCAGTTAGTATTACGTAGCCAAAAATTTTAGTAGTAAGGGCCAACTCCTTTATTGCGAATGATTATCAAACCTGGGAAGTCACGGAAAGGTGAAAAACCGACTTCAGAAAAACGTAGAAAAATTAATGGACTAAAAGTGTCGAAAATTGAGATGAATCGAACATTTTTCATCGAGGAATTTTTTTCTCTAGCTTTAGAAATTTCCAGACAATTATACTGTGCTTCTTCGAATTATCGTTTTTTACACAAAACATTCAACCGTTGGGTGTCCCTGTACCACATCACGGAAAAGGTCAAAAGGTCCTATGAATGTCCTAAACAATGGTTAAGTCGGGATCAGGTTTAAAAATATTCGGTTCTTAAATAAAGGCGCAACTCTATCATACCGTAATTAAAACCTTTTTGTCAAGTTGCATTTTGTTTTCTTCTTGTGTGCAACTAACCTTTCACAAAATGCAGTTTGCTGGATGTGACAAAGCGGAAAAAAAGACGTTGCGAGATATCAGTTAGGCTTGTAAACTGCCGGAGTAACATCCAACGCAGACGCCTCGAATTCCGGCTCGATAAATACGGTTGTAAAATTATCTGCACACCAGTTTTGGAAAGTATTGCACTAAAAAGAAAATACTTTTAAAATATTTGCTTTTGCTTGTTATTTTTTCCGCATAATATATAACACGTTCTAAAACAAAACGCGATATAAATTCTACAACGATAAAAACTCGCAAATAATTAAATATTTTACCAAATATTATCCCCCTCCTGGAAAATTTGAGCTGAATGAGGCAAATTTTTTCATACTTAAAGGTGTTTTGGAAAAGATTGTCCTTAACTTGCGCTCTCCTGTATTGAACACGATGAGATTATTAGATTAGGGCAAAAAAACTTTGCTTTTACCATACTTCAAACAGGCTGGCAAATAATGATTTGTTGAAGATAACTATATCTATCACTCTACAACTGGTATGTTTAACAATAATTTTATGCTCACTGACTGCGTGATACCTCAGTAAAAACCTTTAATATATTTCGTTTTGCTCCAGCCTGTTCACAGACCCTCTATTTTCTCTTCAAAGTCCATCGAGCGCGCGTGATAAAAAACAAAAACCGCGGGGGATTTACTGACCGCCAGCGGAAGGGGTTAGGAGTGAGGAAGGAGAAAATTCTTTATTTTTCTTTCTTGCGCTCCGCGCTCGATCTCGCTCGCCGATGTTCTCGAAAAGAACGAAAACAAAAATAAAACGACGTCTGTGTACAGGCTAGTTTTAATTTGTTCAGCCGTTTCGTTTTTTTTCTTTTTTTTCTAAATAAATAACTAACCTTTCGCAAAATGCTATGCTGGATGTCCCCACTGATCAAGCAAAAACGTATATCTATAGTTTTTGTTTGGAAAATATCAGTTCGGCTTGTGAAAGACGTCTGCGTTGGAGGTAACTCCAGCGAAAAATAATCTTCCCTTGATTTATACGGTCTTATAAATTATCTGCACATCTGTTTTGAGAAATAATATTTCACTATTAAACTTCAGTTTACCATGAATATTGTCTTGGCCATCATTTTTTAGCCCTAATTATATCTATCCCTACTAAATAACTAAAAATTTGCTGCTGAATTATGCTTTTTGTTAACTTGAACTTCCTTTTTTAATCAGCCCACAACCAATCGACCCTATTTGATGGAAACAGACAACGATTATTTCGCCTCCGTGCATCATTCAAGGTATCCCCACAGTTTCAAATTATAACTTATTTCATGTCAATAGTTCCTGAATTTTTCCTGAATTTCTTTGATAAAAGTATGCCAAGGAAAACAGAACTGCAGGATAGTACAAAAAAAGAACACCATTTACTACAAATCCTTTGACCCGCGTAGGGACTAGCGGCGAGTGAATGCGTTCCTCTCGATCGCCAGGGCACCGCTATTATTTGCGCGCCAAAATGTATTTCTTTTAGTTTTTTGAT